AAGTTTGGAGGGGAAAGAAAACAGGATCCTTTATAAATCCTACTACTGAAAGCACTAGAGGCTTTCCCAGTTGCAAATGATTGAGAAGGGAGTCTGAGACAGACAGATACTGGCAAGTCTAAGCTTGTTCTTCAGTAGCTGGTATGTGAGAGAAAGCCATAACAACTTTTTGAGGCTGATGGGTCATTTCTCTATATAGAATACTTAAAGTCTTAAGTTTTTTTGCAAGTGACAGAAATATATAACTAATCATTTAGACTCCCTTGCTGTCTTTTGGAAGGCATTTTGCAGAGAAAAAAAGCATGCTGTTTGAAGTCCTGGACACATAAAAGCAAATGGGGCAGAACACTTCTACTGACAAACCAACAGGCACATAAATTTCTGGCCAGACTTTACTCAAATGAAATTTACTAAAACTTTCATGAAAGAAAGCGAACTCTCTTTATCTTCTCATTCTTTCCTGCTCCAAATCTCTCCTGACCCACAAAATTGCCATACATTGTTATGTTAGGAGATCAGTTGTGCCAATTATCAGTCTCATGATATCCAGTCCTTCAGCTGCTAGAACGATGTGTTTACCTGAGAATCCTGTATTTCATTTAAAAAGTAAAATTCTGGTTCTGGTTCTTATCATTTTCTGTGAAAAGCTAGAAAATATGAACTCGAGACTCAAAAGACAGAAGAGAAATAAAAAAACCATGAATAAATAAAATAAATGTATATTTGTAGCTATGAAGTTCCCACGAATTTGAAGTCAATTTCTTTATTTTCTTAGTCCACATTCAAGGAGGTTTTGTGTTACAGCAGAAATAAAAACAGGAGTAAGATACCCAGGCCTCCCCCCTTACTGCTGGGCAACTTGTATTCACTCTTTCCCCTTTCTACTATAGCTACCCTCCGAAACTCACTTCATGTTGGTGCGGAATGGCCAGAAGTGTCACTAAGGACTGCAGCAATGTTTGTGCCTGTCCTTCATAACTAAATATGAAAATGTTTGAGGCTGCAAGGAGCACTGAAAGCTGGTGGAATGAGTAACAAAATGACTCTGTAGCCCAGTTGCATGTTATGTTGCATAGAGAACACTGGGCTGACCAAAGTATATCACATAGATGCCACAAAACTAAGAAATAGCAGACCTTACATAAGCTGGGTAATGATCTTAACTAATAATATTATAGTAATTCTAGTATCTAAATATATAATAATGATGGGAAAAAAAATCAGCCATACATCATCAACATCATGGCTAGGCTTCGCGAACGAAGATTTGGGAAGGACTCTACCCACATTTGTTACAGGCACGCTGGTGGCTAAAAAGACCAATGCAAGACAGACATGTCTGATTGCAAAAGGCACAGCAGAAAGACTCCTTAGGTGGTATATTCTGCAAGACATTATTCTTTCTGCCTTGCCTTTTCTCCTCAAGAGTGATCCTGCGTGCTTTCTCAAAGGCATCAGCAGCGTTATAGATGGTGTGTCTCCAGACCTCCCGGTTGGAGGCCAGAGTAGATCAGTTATGGTGATCAATATGGCCAAGGCTGAGATGTTGTTTCAGGGAGTCCTTGTATCTTTTCTTTGAGGCTCCTCTCCTGCGGCAGCCAGTGGCAAGTTCACCATAAAGCAAGATCTTAGGGAGGCGGTGGTCCTTCATCCTGGAGACGTGCCCTGCCCATCGCAGCTGTGTTCTCAGCAACATGACCTCAATACTCGTAACTGCTGCTTGTTCTAGAACAGATGTATTTGTCACATAATCTGACCAGTGGATGTTTAGGATTATATGGAGACAGCGTTGATGGAAGCGTTCTAAGAGTTGCAGGTGGTGGTGGTAGATGACCCATGACTCGGATCCATATAAGAGAGTAGACAGCACAATGGCTCTGTAAACACTGATCTTTGTACTTTTCTTCAGGTGTTTATTTCTCCAAACTCTTTTATGGAGTTTTCCGAAAGCACTGTATGCCTTTGCTAACCTGTTGTCTATCTCTCCATCAATCTTACCATCTGAGGAGATGAGGCTACCTAGGTAATTAAACTGCTGGACTGATTTGAGCTCTGAAGCCATACATACTCAGCAGGATTTAAACTTCGAATAAAAACAAGAAATAGCAAGGAATCAGTCTCCTTTCATTGCAGAAGAACATGGAATATACTGAGAAGTAACCTAGAGGAAGAAAGGAAGGGCTGCCCTGTGGTTGGTTCCAAAGAGTAGGGTCACTGTAGCTGGGTTCTACTCTAACACAGCCATTGACTTTCTGTGAAAACCTAGAAAAGTCATTAAATACCCATATATTTTATTTTCCTCATTTCTGAAAAGGTGATGATAATAATAACTACCCCAAAGGTTTAGTGAGGTTTACTTCAGTAATGTTTGTACAGCATGTACAGCTCTTGACTGCAGAGTACTATAGAAATGCTAAGTATTATTATTACATGGGAGTATTAGAAAAAAAAGTAATGCAGTAGGAAATTCTTTAATAGAAACACCCAAATTAATATGGGATGATTTTTTTACGACAGAAAATCAAGAGGTCAAAATAATTTCCTTCTTCTGATTTTAACAATCACTCCTCCCCAGACATTGCTCTCATCTTGGGTCCCAACTGCATGTGAACTACATATTCAATTCATCCTCCAATTGTAAGATGAAAGAAAAGCACCTAAAAAGTGGAATAACTTTTTCCTAAGGCATAAGTGTAATATAAAGTATAACATTATGGAATGAAAATCAACAGCGTTGTTGAGTTTATTTTATTAAAAATGATTCTCTGTGGACAGTGCCTGTGTGTATAATTGGGATGGTGCAGCACAGTAAATTTCCATTAAGAAACAATGATTCACTTAGTACGGTGAAGACAGTAATACGGTTAAACTCTTAAGTTAAGTGGAAAGTAAGTCAAACTAAACCCCAACAGGTTTTCTGCTAGGGGCATAGATAATGTTTTTGAAAATGTTCTAAATTTTCTTTCTCAAATATATGTATTATACATTGCAATATTCTTAATTATATCCATTTTCTCCTTTATACACTTCCCCAGGAGATTAGTGAAGAATGGAAAACTTACTTATAGTGGATTTCAGATTTAATGAGACAAAGATGGTTTAATATATATGACAAAGTGATATGCTCTCACCATATTTGATAGGTAATTATTTTTTATACTCTAATGGTTACCATTTTGAGAATAATTAATGTATTATTTGTGTAATTAAAAGATAATCAACTGAGTATTAAAAGACTCTGGTTACATGGTGGTGGGTGGTACTACCCTGTTTAACATCTCTAGAGCTCTTGGCATGTTGGCATGACATCACATCATATATGCATTAAAGGTTTTCCTTTGAGAGACTTGTGCACATTCAAAATACATAAGTAACATCGGTATGATATTTCTGTCTGTATATATATATATATATATGTTTATATATACACACATACATATATTGCATACTGAGGAGAGTCAGAAAGGACTTAGAGAAAGNGTGTCATACATACATATATAAGAATGTATATTTTAAAAAAAGTTTTCCAGAACTTAGATTTTTAAATGTATAGTTCTGCACTTAAATAAATGCCATAACTTTCCACAGATATAAAAACATTCAGCATTTCTGATGGAAAACATGCATCTATTGCTGTGAAGTTCTGCAGGTCTATCAACAGTCCTTCATAACCACTAGCTTTGAAGTTTGTTGATAGATAAAACAGAATCATCATGATTTTTTTTCCCCATTAGCAGAAGATAGCAATTCATTAAAAAAATGGTATTGATGTCATAAGAAAATTTAAAATTACATTCAAATGGACAAGCTCAGGAACCTGAAAACCATCAACTTCATCTATATCAACACAACCTTCTCCCAAATCATGATTGGAAAATTAGGAGTGAAGGAATGACTAACTGGGAAGATAGTAATTTTTCTTGTGTTGTTTTCTTGAATGCTTGTATAAAAAAAGGTATGTTTAGAGGTGTTGGCAACATGCTTTTTGAGGTGCTGATTTAAGAAACTGTCCATCACCTTGAGAGTGCTGTTGCCCTACACACCCTGGTGTACTACTGGAAGAGAAAAACCCCCTTACCTCCAAAGCTCAACAATGATTTGTGATTTCTTTCTTATTCTTTGGTCAAAGATCACTTGCAGAGTAAAGTGACTCATAATGTTGACCAAGGTGAGAGCTTATTTAGAAGCTATGAACAGAAGAAAATGATGTGGTTATACCAGATCTGTTTGCTAATTTAATAGCCCTCTTTCCTGAATGATGCCACTACTTTTGGGGAATGGATCAAAACATGCAACCTCCACTAAGTCAGTTGCAAAGCTGAATATTGGCCTTCAGTTGAAAGAGCTTGTTCATCTGAATCTAGCATTGCACATACCATTCTTTTCCCTCCTTTCCATAAATTTTCAGGCTTAGGTTTAAGATGTGGCCGAGATTGATGCAAATCTCATGGTCTATGTTTTTTCCACATATCTACGACCTTGAATGTTTTCTCATATATGCTAAATTTATCTCTGTAACTGTTACCTCAGATACGCTATTCTTGACTCATATGTGCAAAGAAACTGATGATCACACACCTTAATTAATTGATGTAGGGAGTGAAATTCAGAGTGAAGATTTTTGTGACAAAACTCAGGGGTTTTTTTCCCCCTCTCCATGTCAGAGGGGTTGGAACTAGATAATCTTTAGGGTCTCTTCCAACCCAAACAATTCCATGATTCTGTGATTTATAGTGAAGTAGAAGGAAAGAAAATTATTGCTTTTCCACTCGTGATGCAGTTAGTGCCCTCTAAAATTCTCCTTTGCAAAATGTTTAAGAAATAAATATTATAGCAAATATTCAATAAAACAAATATGAATGAACATATAGTACATAAATGAAGGTGAAAATATATTATTAAATATGTACATGCATTGTAATATGTTATGTATAAAATAAATATTTTATCCTATAATAAAGAAGAGTTTCTCTACAAAAGGATGATCATTTTTTTATTACCTTAAAATACTGCAGTTGTTTCTCAGCATTCATTGTTCCTTCATTTTCTTGTCTCAGACAGGAATTGAAGATGAAAAGCTCTGTATCTCTCAGCCACCCTTTCAGCTCTTTGATCCTGACCTCCAGCTGCCTTACCAGGCTGCCACTTTCAGGCGAGAGCAGGTCACGTGGACCCAACCCACTGTGCCCTACCATTATGTCTTGGATCTTCTCTCCTAGGGTTTTCTAATGCATCAGATAAGGAAAACATAGATTAGTCATATGTACCAAAACATATACAGGTTAATGTGCAACAAGAAGCATCTGTTAGAAGGCCAGAGATGTGTGTTTTTTTAATAATTATTACTAATACCAATAAATTTCCTTCTTAGTTTCCTTGTTTCATTCTATTTCTTTTTTTTTTTTGTACCCTTGTTTCTCACTTATGCTGTTCTCTCTGGGTCACTGACTGTGCTAGAAGGATTATAAATCAATGTTTATTAAGAGCAATTAAGGACAGAGGAGACAAAATGCTACATAACTTTGCAAACTAGTTACTCTACAGAATTTGTCTGTGGCTTTAGATGATTATGACTGTGAGAGTTACTGGTTTCCAGGCAGCAACAGAAACATGACAAGCACTGAGTTCACCAGACTCCTGTCCAAGGTACTGTCTACATTTTTGGAGAAACAATGAAATATTTTTTGAATTATGTTTTATGAACTGCCAGGTCATAATTTCCAAACATGTAGCCTTGGGGCTATATGGAGGAGCAGTTAAGTCACAAAAGAGTTGGTTTGTTTTTAAAAGTGGATGGACTCATTCAAATCTCAATAAGCTAGAAATTGCAAATCTTCACTGTTCCTGAACATCAGTCCAATTATTTAGGCCACCAAATTTGAATCTCAGTTCTCTGTGTTAAGCATCCACTTTAAAAATAATGGACCAGAATAAACATTCACCTCTGATTGCTAATGAAACTAATTTACTACATCTTTTCAAAGTAGTATTTCTAATAAAAGAATCACTGAATAACATTTTGATAGTGGACGCTGTGAGCATAATGAATATTCTGAAGAGGCCAGGGATAAAAAGTTACCTTTCTTTTCAGTATCTTGAAAGGCAATTCTTTAACATCACAAGGGAGATATGCTGTTGCCTGCTTCTTCTGTGCTAAGACATATTTTATCTGACCTATAAGAGGCTGTCAGGCAGACACTTATTATGAGCACTAGATCTATGGTACTGATTGTTGAATATTGAATATACACTGACACTCACATCCAATAACCTTTTAAACTGATAATTATTGGTGGTTAATTGTTGTAACATGAAGATACAGTTTTAGGTGACCCAATATGGCTCTCTATTGAAAATATATGCTTTAGAAAGTTACCGGAATACCATTTATAACAATGAAGTTAGCTTCCAAAAATAAGCTTTGAAACACAAATAAAATTAGAGCAACTGATACTAATCTACTATGTGGCATTCTGTAAATAACGTCTGTAGGAGATCATAACTGAAAAACGTGCTTTCTTGGCAACACCCTTCTATTTTCATGGTGCAAATATTGATAATTTGAAGGCCCTCAGTGGAATCCAGCACTAGCGATTGTTTTTATGCTGTAACAAAAGTAGCAGCAGGAGGTGAAATCAATGCCCTTGGAGGGTAGGGTCACAAAAAAGAATTTATTGCCACTTTTTTGTTCTGGAACAGTTTGCAATCATAAATTCTTCATAAACAGAATACTTCAGAGAATGGTCCGTCTTCATAAATATACGACAGAGGACATCAATTTCATTTAATTCACAATTTGTGTCAGCACAGCAGATGCCAATGCCTGCCTTGATAGGGTTGTTTAATATGCAATTGAGACAGAGTAATATTCAGCACAGGGGACAAAATTTCACAGATTAAACTGTACGCACCACTGACATTTCATTCTAATGTATTTCCATTCCACAGTGTTCACCTTAGATGAAAGTAATATTAAAAACCATATCCCTCTATTTTGCCATTGTTAGAAGTTAAAATCCTTGTCTTTAATTTTTTTCATGCCAATTAAAATGTAATCATGCCAATTAAAACAGTATGTCTAGTGTTGTTAGTTTCTGCAAAGGTTTTTATTAAATTAAACAAAACTCTATCAAACTCTGCTTATTATTCATGAAACTGCATTTAACAGGAAAACTGTAATAGTTATATTTTATTTTTCTGTAAATGCTGAAATTAATGGCAAAAGTTAATCTCGAGGTATATACTGAGAAGCAAAGGGCTTCAAATTAGGGCTTCAATTTTTTTTTTAAGACAGTTTTTTTAGATTTTTAGAATTATCATCAGTTACTTATAGTTTTATATCCTACCAACTCTAATCACTGCCACTGAATTAAACTGATTAAATACATTGAAATTCATAAATGTAAGGCTTACATCTGAAATCATTTTAAAAATACAAGTTGTCATGTTCAGATGTAAAAGATTAGGTTACTAAATCCTATTTTTATCAATAAATTTATTAAAGATCAAATAGATTCAAAATGCTTATGGTGATGGTGCAGATTAAAAAGTAATAAGATTACTGATCATAAGGTAACTTTTAACATTTTCTGACAATTTGCACATTTAGAGAATTAAGCAATTAGAAGCAACTGTGTTGAATCAAAAAAGCCCCGCCCTCTGAAACGGCTATTGCATTGCTACATAAGCTGAAGTGACACAAGTCAGTACTTAAAATGCTGTTGGCAGGTTGTGTATATAGTTTACTCTTAATATAATAGAAATATTTTTAAACTAGGATAATAGCATGCAAAATTATGCAATGTAACTGTATTGCTAATATCATACATCTATAATTAATCATTTAAAGTAATTTATAAATTTATCTTACCCTTGATTTGAAGTGAAGGCAATTAAGGAGAGAAGTGGATGGAAAAATATATAGTTTGACCTCTCTCTCTCTCTCTCTCAGCTGTTTAACAACAATGGGACAATAGTGTCTCCTGCACAGTGCCATCAGCGGTCTCTGGGTAACAGAATCCCTATATTGCTTTTTTTGCCAGATTCTTGTATCGCACTCTTTGGCTGAGACCCAGCCCATCATAGCGTGAAATGAATTACACGAAACTTTTTCGGTTTTTGTCAAAAGTGAGCTGAATACAGCAGCATGAAACATATCCTGGCTGTATTCTCAGTTTCAGGTATGCAGATTTGTACTGAATCTGTATATTTGTTTTTGAGCCACCAGTGTGACCTGAAGTATGCAGTGACAGCCCCACTTTTCATCTTAAAGGTATAGTAAATAGTTAAACAGTAGATGTCTCTAACATGTACCTTCAGAATAAATTCTATTAACATTCACTCAAGCATGACAGTCAGTGTATATCAGATATACTGCATTATAGTTGACTTGGTGCATACCCTTAATACATGGCATATTTTACTTACATTTTTTATGTATTAAAGAACTAAAATTATTAAAGTGAGACAGGAGACAAGCATGGAATAAAAAAAAAATCACCAGAAGAGGAAAATACTATGGAGTTTTTATAATAGAATGAGTAGTTTGTTTGAAATGTTCGTGGTGGATTTAAAGAGAGAGATATTTGTGCTTCAAATTAGAAATCAGACAGACAGTGTACTTCAACACACAAAAATGTACACATAACCCACAAACAGTAATAAAAATGCAAATACCCCAAGCAGTTCCCATTTTTCATTAATTGAATCCACTTTTTCAAGGAGATCGTTTGGTAGTAAAACACCACTTTTCTTCAGAGCTTCAACCTTACTAAGCAGTTCCATCTTTTTCGGGTGCCTGATTGACATTTCTACATTGTATCTCTAAAAGGAAAAGAAATATATAGTATTAGCTGCTGTAAAGAGTTTTCACTATAAAAAAATAAATTTTCATTGTATGTGCCCAGTTATGGTCATGCTTACTCTGACATTTTTTAATTTTATTTTTTTTATATACGCAACCTTCTCATGACATATCATAAGAGATTTAGGTACCAAGCACATAGACTTCTGCATGACGTATATATGCAGGCAGTTAGCAATTTATTACATATAGTAATATTCAGTCTCTCACAATATTCACTTGTACAGTAATATTCACTAACACTCTCCCATCTGAATCTTGATCTACCTTTCTCTCATTCAGGTTAGTGGGACCTTATTTTTCAAATATACTACTTCAACAAGTAACAATGAGGCTCTCGATTCAAAACCAAACCAAACAAAATCCAAGGAAATAATTTCATAATTATATTTCCTATACAGCTTATTTCTTCTCTCTTTCATTGTGGAGTCTGCCTCATAGATGGGCCTGAAAAGCTAATACATATGAAAATGTGAGAGTTTCACCTTAGAAAAACAATTAGACATAGCTCCCTTAAAATACAATAACAGTAATTTGATTTTTATAGCATCAACCAACAGGAGCACTGAAATGGCCCACAAAAGAGAACAGACACAATGTTAAAACAGTCAAATAGTTTCTTCAAGCTGAAACTACCTTTTATTTCCTGCACTGCTATTTACTGATTAAAAAAAGAAAAAAAGGACAGAGAAAATAGATACAGGAGAAAGAAGAAAAAGAAAAACATGAAGCTTCTTTCATAATTACTTTCACAGGACTTTCTAAATCTTTTAGCTGTATATTACTTATATAGTGTATACAAATGTTTTCTAATCTACAGACACATTGGCAAATAAATATTTTTAAAAACCGTATTCCCCAGAAACCTGAATTAACTATTAAATATAATATTTACTATAGTGGTTATAAATGTTTTCATAGTTGGTAAAGTAAAAAAAAAACCCAAAACATTAATACGCAGGCATCCATTCATATACATACCCTCCATATAGTTAACCTAATTAAGTATAAAAACATTGATTGAAATAGAACTTCTGATATGGCCAAAAATATGCCTCTTATTGAGAGAGAAAAGTTCAGCACATATTCTTACAAAGGTGTTTACTAGACATACATAAATTATGCATAGCTATTAGCAAATTGCTTCCTAAACATTAAGCTTTCTTTGCTTTAAATTCAGCCAAGAAAACTGCTATGGCAGCTCATACTGAAAATGTTAATAACTGGGCTAAGTATAAAAAATTAAATGAGAATAAGGAATGTTTAAAACATGGATGCCTTCGCTAGATCCAAGAACATGCTCTGTAGGAAAACAAAGCCAAAAGACAATTGGAGACAGCCTAAAGAAAATAATAAAGGTGTGAAATCACTGTTTCAGCTAACAGGTTCTCAGTATTTCCATGCATATGTTTGCATATTGTTAGTTTCATATTTTAATCTCTCATTTACACAACACATGCACATCATTTGTATTATGTAAACTTCAGCAAATATTAGTCATTTGTGGATCATAGAGCAAATGTTTTAAATGAGGTGATTTAAACCATTTCTCATTATTAATGAACACTGATCAGGTGTCTGTGTATCCAAAATTGCATGAATATGCATGGTAAAAAACAAGGAATTGTTTACAAAGAGCTTGCCTTTTGACACTTGGTGTACTGCGGCTCAGGTTTGAGACATGTACAACAGTAGGCAATACCTACCAGGATGGGTGCTAGGGGTCTGGACCCACCAAGAGGCACCACTATTTTATTCAACTAATATGTTCAACAACCATGCTTCTTGGTCCTGTCTTATTGCCTTTTCGGCTTGAATGGTTACTGGAGGAGATTACAATCTTCTTTATGTAATCTGATTTCTATTTAAAGATGATATAGCTGAAAAGGATTTGCATAATTATTTCCATAAGTACATGTAATATCAAGGGGAATCCAGAGTCCGATTTGCTAGGCACTGAAATCCAGTTCATGTGACTCTCTTTCTTTTGTCAAGTGAATTAATAGACTGAGGGAGTCCTCTAGCTGTGTGTCACTGGTGCAGGCACAGCTAGTTACTGCTCTAGGCTGGCACTTGTCTGGGCTGGGTATGGGGATGTTTCTAGGCATCTCAGGACTGATGAAGAAATAAAATACATTCCATGTTTCATAACTACAATGCTCTTGTTAACATAGAAACAGAAGACATTTCATTTAATTTTGGACTAGATAAAATAATTCAGTGCTGCGTAATCCAAATAGTGACAGATGTTATAAAGGTTATTACGTTAAAAACTAAATAAACTAGATTTTATGTATGTGCTGTTTTTGTCACTGTGTAACCTACTGTATAAACAAGCATGATTGAAAGTGCTGATTGATAGAAAATGCATTATACAGTAACAGTAAAAAATTAAATAATTCAGTTGATTATCAGATGTATTGGTATGTGACTGAGAGTCAGTATTGTTTCATTCACGAATATTTAAAATGTAGTGTGTATTTTAAGGGAAGAGCTTAATGTACAGGAGGTACAGTTTGAGATAACACAAGATGTTATTGCTAACGCTATTTTTTAATCCATTAAACACCTAGACTCTGAGCAGTTGCATGGAAAAATTAGCCACCAGCTCTATCAGTGCTGCACAACCCTAGTCTGGTAGGACTACTTAATCCTTTGGTGAGAAGATAATTTAATCTTCAGATTCATTCTTTCCTCAGCTTTAAGGGAAAAAAGGCCGTTCCATTGTGACATTCTGTGGATGTTATGATATAGAATACTGTTTAATAGCCAAAAATGAGATTAAGGAAGTTAAGGTTGCAGGCTTCTCTCAATAGCCAAAATAATAAATAAATGAGTAATATTTAATTTCCCAAAATACTGTCATATCATAAAACTGGGAAAAAAACACAAACAACAACATACTGGAAAAACTGCAAAATATTTACATCATGATTAGCTGTGGGCATGCATGTCTGGTTTTGTGTTCCTGAAGCCACTCAAAAGAAATCCAAAACATTGTTACGTAAGTTAAAGAATTTGGGTTTTTATTCCTTCTCACTCAATACAACAAATATTTCTCAAAGGACAAATAGTGGAATTTAAAAAATGGCAGTAGTGTTTATCTGGGAATAAGTTTGGCAGAAATATTTAAGCCGCAAGAAGTTGAATTCCAAAACAAATCTAGTTAAAACCTTACTTTCCCTGATAAAAACATTCTAAGAAATAATTCAGGCAGGCTTGATTGAGACACATTTTTTGACACTTTAATCTAAACTGGGTATTTTTTTATTTTTTCTTTAAAAAATTATCTAAAACATTTTTTTTGTGTGAAAAATTACACCCGAAAATTCTGCCCAAATGCAGACTGGAACAATGCCTTGTAACAGTGTTAATTGTCACCATGGAAACCAGAAGAATAAGCCATTTTGAAACTGGTATAGAAGGCACACATTGAGCAACTCAAGCATTTTTCAGCCTCCCTCAGTGTTAAGGAACAAGATGCCTAGTCACTGAGAGGTCAGAGAAAGAAATCATCATGAAAGGGTCGTAGATGTGCACTGTCTGGTAAACAATAAAAAAATCTGTACACAGTTAACAACTCTATAAGACTGCACACTGCATCTTTCAGAAGGAGAAACACCACAAAAAGGTGATCAGGACTGGGGTGCAGATTCCACCCCTCAAGCAAAACTTTAGGGCAATAATACGCGAACCTTGCCCCTAAAGCTCCCTGGGAATTCTGTTGTTGTAATAAAACTTCAGAAGAGGAAAGGAAGAAAAAAGCCTGCATGATGGAATTCAAAATAATGCTCTAAAAGCACACAGAGAGATTAAGACATCCATTGTAAGACTTTTGTATGGTGCTTCTGTTGGTTATAGTGAAAAGAGACCAGACATACTGAACACACAGTGGAGCTATGGCTACGAAGTACAGAAGAATTAAGCCAGTAAACTTTCTCCATTACTGGAATAAGGACATGCTATTCGTAGATGTTCTGCATTCCATCATTCACTACTAACAAAGTATCTTCAGTCAAATGGCACTGTAGGATATACAACTGAGATCAGGACTGAGTGACCTGCAATTTTAGTTTTACCTGCATTCAATCTTTAAACTTTAAAAATTTGCCTTTTGGGATGTTTTGACTGCTGCAGACACCAATAAATACAGATACATATCCTCGGTGTCTGCATGTGCGTGCACAGTCAGCATTGGCATACATTTGCAAAATATACTGCATGCATAAAATTCAGTAAAGAATACTCTGCAAGCAAATTCACCAAATATGTAATAAAAATATATACAAACATATATATATATATGCACATATAGCAATATTTGTCCATCATCTCTTCACACACATTTTCTTTGCTTTCTGGATAATGTTTGCACTCTTCATGCTAGGCTTCATGGTGGCCCCTTAGGAAGCCCATGCCTAATGCCATTCAGTGATGAACAAAGAGTCTTTTTATTCCAAAGTCCAGGGTCCAAAGCTCAGCTGTATACAGGCAAAGTGAAGGAATCTGCTAGAGGCCAGCCTACCCTTCACAATAGCCCTTAATGCTTCTACCTTTTTGGTACTGTCAATGTGAAACATTTTAGAAACTGTCCAGAAGCTTGGTTATATTTCTTATGCCATCAATAGCACTAGAACCTCTGGACAACATTCAAGATCTGGGCTGAGCGATCTGTCTAGATGAATAGCAGTTGCTGTTTCTTGCAAACTTCATGTATTTCACCATTAGCAATTTATGGCAAATAATTGCACAGAGAAATTATAAAGACTCCTACAATTGTCCTTGTAAATTAATAATAGGCTTTCTTGATTGGGATAAATTTGCTGCTGAGCCTTTGGAAAAATTAAAAAGTGCAATGTCATTTAAAATTGCCAGAACTCACAGAGCAAATTACATCTGAGGTTAAGAATCAGTTTTTCCTCTTCTAGTTTATTCCATTTGCATGATCTGGAAATCATAT